AAAAATTCCTCAAATCATTTCTCATCCTACACCCCATGTTCGGTAACCAAAAAATAAAAAACAGTTGATAGAACTTTGATTACTATTCTTTGGGAAAGGAATTATAAAACTTATACCTTTAGTATTTTTGAAATCGTTCTCCATGTTCCTAAGCTAGTCGTTAACCTATTGTCCATTAAAAGAATCACATCGGACCTAAATTATTTTGTAACATTCCATCCTACTCATTGTTTATTTCGGGATCAAACCACGAAGAAGATGATTGGGCATGCTAAGGAACATGAAGGACTTTACTATCTAAACACAAGTGATGATAGGTATAAAATGAGTCATATTTCTCAATCTTACCAATCTAAAAATAAATCTGAAAAAAGGCTCGGATTTGGCTTCATCATGTTCAAATGGGTCATCTTTTTTTTTTTCATTGTTAAAAACTATGTTTCCTTTGTTATTTCAAAAAATAAATGTCAATGAGTTTCATTGTGAAGTGTGTCAAATGGCCAAACACCATAGAGTGTCCTATCTTTTAGATAGTTTCAAACCATCCGAACCTTCCTCTTTAGTCCATACGGATGTTTGGGGGCCATCAAGAATTTCAAACATTAGTGGGGCTCGTTGGTTTGTTTAATTTATAGACGATTATTCTCGAACTACTTGGCTTTTCTTAATGAAAAATAAATCGATGTGAGTGTTATTTTTCTCATATTTTATAAAATGATTCTTACACAATTTGGGATTTATATTAAGTATACTCGTTTTGATAATGGGAGGGAATATTTTAATCAAGAGTTGTCACCATTTCTTCAAACACATGGCATAATTTATGAGTCTTCTTGCATTGAAACCCCATAATAGAATGGGATTGTAGAAAGGAAAAATCCTCATCTTCTAGAAGTAACTCGTGCCCTATTTTTTGAGAAAAATATTCCTAAATTCTATTAGGGGAAGCCGTTTTAATAGCCACATACCTCATTAAGCTATTACCTAGTAGAGTATTACAAAATAAGTCTCTCTTTGACATATTGTTCAAATCATTTCTTTATATAAAAACACTCATAACTTCCCTTATGAACCTTTGGTTGCATTGCCTATGTCCATATTCGAAAAAAAAAGGATAGAAATACTAAACTTGATCCAAGAGCCTTAAAGTCAATTTTCTTAGGATATTCCTCCACATAAAAAGGGTACAAGTGTTATCATCCAAGTATTAGGAAGTTCTACATATCAAAAGACGTTACTTTTATTGAAAATCAAGGGTTTATAATCAAACTTATGTTTTGAGGGAGCCCAAGTCGGAAGATAAATCGGACTTAAACTTCCTCACTTTTGATCTCAACTTAAGCATCTCAACCTCAACACTCGACTTGAATCAAGAAAAATTTCTTTAGAAGATAAATCCTCAAACATTCCGGACACTCTAGAAAATCCCTTTCTAGAAAATCCAATACCTCTTCTCGATCCGAGTCCAAGGTTCTATTTCAACTCATCATGATCGTCTAATACCACTATTACAAGTGTACTCGAGAAGAAAGTCTAATCTCGAACTAGCAATGGCCTAACCATTAGAACTCGTGCAAGATCAAGCTTCCAAAGCAAGTAACAATACAAACCTTTTACCATTAGAATTTCATGACCTTTCTTTGCTTATTGCACTCGGAAAAGGAACACGTAATCGTACGCAACACCCAAAAGCTAATTTTATCTCATTTACCAACCTATCTCCTTTACATAGTGCCTTTCTAACCGAGTTAAACACTATTGAGATTTCAAAAGCTGCTCAGAAGCACTTAGAAGTGAGGAATGAAAAATGCTATGATTGAGGAAATGAGAGCACTTGAGAAAAATAAAACTAGGGAGATTGTTAAGTTGCACTAAAGGAAAAAAATTAATTGGGTGCAAGTGGGTGTTTACGATGAAATATAATACGGATGGAACACTTGAGACATATAAAGCTAAACTTGTTGCCAAAGGTTATCCTCAAACATATGGGGTAGATTATGTAGAAACTTTTGCACCGGTGGCAAAACTAAACACCATTAGGATATTATTATCCTTGGCAACCAATGTTGATTGCACTTTATAACAATTTGATGTAAAATATGCATTTTTACACGATGATCTAGAAGAAGAAGCCTATATAGAACCACCATATGGATTCAATCAAGCTTTTGGTACTAACAATGTATGCAAGTTAAGAAAGGCTCTTTATGGCCTAAAGCGAGTCTCCAAGAGCATGGTTTGGAAGATTTACCAAAGCCATGGAATGAATGAAGTTCAAGCAAAGCCTAGGAGATCATACACTCTTCATCAAATGATCAAAGGAGAGAAATATCACTACCTTAATTGTCTACGTGGATTATCATTGTGACATGAGATGATTATAAAGAGATAAAGAAACTAAAAGATCACCTATCCATGGAGTTTAAGAAACAAGACCTAGGAAAACTCAAGTATTTCCTAAGAATTGAGGTTGCACATTCAAAAGCTGGGATTGTTATCTCTTAACGGAAATATATCATAGATTTATTCAAGGAAACAAGTATGATGGGGTACAAACCTTCGAAATTCCTATTGATTATCATCACAAGTTGGGTGAAGCTATAAATAGTCCGGAAGTTGACAAGGGAATATATCAAAGGCTGATTGAGAAGTTCATTTATCTTGCTCATACAAGGCCAAATATAGCCTATGCGAGTAAGTGTTCTAAGCCGGTTTATGCATACTCCTTGAGAAATACACTTACAAGCTACACACAAAGTCCTTTAATATCTCAAGAGCACTCTCGAAAAAGGAATCGTATTAAAAAGAAATGGAAGACTCAACTTGGAAGCATACACGGACGCGGATTGGAAAGGGTCTCTAGTTGATCAAAGATCTACCTCGGGGTATTGTACCTTTCTTGGGGGAAATCTTATAACTTGGAGGAGTAAGAAACAATCAATAGTCTCCGAGTTCAAGTGCTGAAGTCGAGTTTCAAGCAATGCTCCAAGGAATATGTGAGTTATTATGGATAAAAATTATTCTAGAGGATTTGAGGATAGATTGGGAAAGCACTATGAAGTTGTATTGTGACAATAAATTGGCTATCAATATCGCATATAATCTTGTTTAACATGATTGAATCAACATGTGGAAATTGATCCTTATTTCATCAAAGAGAAGCTCGAGAATAGACTCATTTGCATACCTTATATCCCCACTAACAAACAATCGGCGAGATATCCTCACGAAGGGACTTCCTAGTACAACATTTCAAAGTATCACCAACAAAATAGGAATGGAAAATATTTATTCAACGAACTTGAGGAGGAGTGTTGATGAATGCAGTCCGATTCATTAGATCAAATTCTCGGGAAACCATTCCCTAATTTTCTTAGTAATAATTTCTCGATTTGCCTAATCAATGCAAGTTGTGATAATTGATTATAATTACGGCCATTAATTCGATTTTTGTAATTAAAGATTTCCTAGTTTAGATTGTATACTAAAGTAGCTCATATTCTTGTAATCTGTAAATATATGTAAGCCTTTCTCAATAAGAATAACACAATATTTTACGTGTTCATATTTATCTCTAAAAAATGATCATAGAGGATCATATCATCTTGTTTCTTTTTTCATCAAAATTTTCATGACGTAAATTTATTTTTTGATTTTTTTTTTAATTTTAAAAATAAATTAAAAATATCATAAAATTGAAAAAAAAATAATAAGTTTTTAAAACAAGAATGATCAAGCAATTTATTTTTTCAAACCAAATGGACTAACTTATAATTTACTTAATTAAAACCTGCTTTAGAGGCCTCCGAATTGTGCAAGAAGTAGAGAATTATAGAAAAAGTAGAATAATAAAAAGTAAATTATACATTAGTTCCTCTAGTTTTGATAAATAAATAAATTAATCCTTAATGTTTTAAAAATAAATTATTTACATTTTAAATCAATATTGATCATATTTAATATAATATATCTTATTTCACAAAATATTTTTTTCATCAAACTACTCATATGATGTAAATTTATGTTTTTGCTATTTAAACTTTTTAAAACATAAAGAAAAGCAAATTAAAAAATAAAAAACTAAATTATTATTTTTTAAAATAAAAAGGACTAATAAAATTATTGTTTAAAAATAAAAAGATTGATTTATAATTTATTCAATCAAAGTCCGTAAATAATATTTGATTCTTATTCTCTACCATGAATCACACGGGTCTCTTCTTTACTTAACTCATCCCTAGTAATGCCTTTTTTTGCTTAGATGTTCTAAGCTGCGAGATTTTAGCTTTCTTTGGATTTCCCAAAAAATAAGGTGAAGTTACACATGCCGGGGGAACTTCGTTATTGAAAAATGATTAAAAATCTTACCCATGGAGAAGCGACGAAACTCTTTTCTTAAAAAGTAACTACGAGATTTAGTCCCTTACCTACTCTTTTAGTGACATTCGATGGAGATCCATTTCAAGTAAGCAAGCTACCGTTGAGAAGGTTTAGTCTCCGTCTATGGCTGAATTTTGATCGCAGATTTTTTTTAATACAAATTTGGGTAACGACATTATTTAACGACAAATAACGACGTTATGTAACTATAACGTCGTTATTTATTGTTATTTGTGTGAAATAGTGTCGGAACACTCGTAATGCCGAATAACGATAACGAAGTACCTTGTTATTGTTATATAATGGTCGTTATGTTAAGTAACGGTCATTTTTTAAAACCATGGTTAAGGCTTGTGTTTTGATCCGGTCGTCCCATATGTTCAATGGTCCTTTATATTTTTGGATTATATTGGTCAAGTAAATTTGATTCACCTTTGATTAAGAACTATATTTCAAATTGTCAAATGGCTTATTAGGGACAATAAAAAGTCTGTTATTAAATGCGATGGAATTTGGGTTTCGGATTCTTGGAGTAGATCATTCTTTTACGAGTGAAAGTAGAAGAATCTTGTTTTTTCAATGATTAAATTAGTTAAGTTGAGTTTTGGTTAACAACAATAATGAAGGGAGACAAGAAACATAATGCTAGGGGTGTATTGTCTTAACTTCAATTGTAACCGGTACATCTTTAATTCATTCTAACTTTGAGCAAATCTATTTTGTGTGTCAACAACAATGACTAATAAACGTTTTTTCAAGATACTTTAAAAAAATGGTTTTAATCAAAAAATCGAGCTGAAAATTTTAGTTTTTTAACCGAAGAAGCTGAATTTTATTTCAATTTGGTTTCGAGTTTATTTTTTAATGGATTTGGTTAATCGAAAAAAAAAAATGAAACCGAATCGAAAAATCGAATGATCACCCTTACATGAGATCAACCAAATACCACCACTAAAAGATCCTTCAAGGTAATTTGATTTTTGACTTGCTCCTTTTCTTTTAACAAATTAATACTTCCATGTATGAAAGGTATTTTATTGTAATTCAAGCCATTTACCAATTGAAATGTGAATGCGTCTTTTCCATAGGAACCGACCTCATTTGGCTAAGAGAGGGACTGGAACCGACCTCATTTGTTTAAATCTCTACAATTATGGTCAATTTCCATAGGAAAGAAAAGGTGAGGGACACAAAAAGTTGTCCTTACCTATCCACCACTAGTTTTGATGAATTTTGACTTATATATATTAAATAATATATAATACATAGCTTACTTTTAGACTTATCTTATATGTTAAAGCCGACCATATATTATAAAGGCCCAGCATAACCTTACAATTTTTTTTTTTTTAAATTTGATTTTGCTATCCAAATTAATTTACACATGCTTCAAAATGTGAGTAATAGATTATGTATATTATGTATGTTAGGATTAGAAAAAAAAAGGTTTTTTTAATTCAAAAATATTTTTGGATTAATTTGTACCTCAATCCATATTGAATATTTTTTTTGAATAATTTTAAAAATATTTTTTTATATCAATTTTAATATATTTAGAAAATTTTAATTTAATATATTTCATTACTTGTTAGTTTTAAAATTTAAATTCAAAAAACTTAAAGAATAAAATTTATTTTTTTAACGAGCAGATGATCCCTTAGAATTGAATTATAAAATGTATAAAAAATTTACTTTCGATCATATATGTAACATTTCAATTTTTTTAGGGACAGTTTTTGAAGTATATCCCTTTAAATATTATTTAGCAACTCTATAAACATGAAGGTCAAAGCCAAATCTTCATGGATCTTTCTTCGATTTTCATGTTTCCATTGAACTCCTTTTCTTTCCTTGTAAGGTAAATCAAAAGCTTATGCGAGTAACGTGCCTGTCAAGGGCATAGAGAAAAATGTGAAATAAGGACAAGGTGCAAGGGATGTAGCCGGCCAAAAAGGAGGCAGGAAAAAGAAAGAAAGGGAAAAAAAAAAAATTGTAATGAAACGTGGCATGACGTGATTTGCTTATGGTTTGGCACTGTATGATTACGTTAGACGCGAGGCAGTGAGATGTGATCCAACGTCCTCAACTGCACAAGAGCTTGCAAAATGATCAAATGTTTCTCTCAACCATTTTTTTTAAATTATTATAAAAGATGTTAATTTTATTGATGATGTAAATCAAACAAATATATAGCTATTCAAGTTACATTGAAAATATTGGACAAGACCTTTTTATAATAATGATAAATAATGACTTTTTAAATAATAAATAGTTTTTTTTATTAAAAAAAAAAGGTTACAAAAACCTTACTAAAACTATCCCACGAAGATTTTAACCACCCTAAACTTTTTAAGTTGAGATTTTTTGACACATAATATCTACAATCAGACTTAGCATCATCATAAATTAATGAAGGATCAAGCCATACTATTATGTTCAATTGACAGAAGATTTCAACCACTTTAAACTATTGAAAAACATCATCTTTTTTCAATCACTGAAAAACATTTATTGCAACCTAATAAAAAAATATCAAACACTTATTTAAAAGATAAAATATCTTAATAGAGTGTAAATTTGGTGCACATATCTAATATAGATTTAACATTTAGATTTGATTTGTTAACATAAAAAAAAAAAAAATAATAATAATAAAGCTATTGCTAGTGAAAAAATCATCCATGGCCCCTAGTTTTTTATTTTTAATGAGAAAACTAAGAGAAAATGAGTGAGATAGATAGAGAGAGCACACTACTCTCACCTTCTTAAATTTTAAGAATTTAAAGGACAATTTAACTCAACATATTAAAATATATATGTTAATTTATAATTAAATGTTTAAATATTTTTCTGTCCATATAGAATTCAACTTCTATTAATATTTATTTAAGTACATAAGAAGGTTCGTTTTGTTTTTTTTTTTTCGTTGTTGTTGTTGGTACTAACTAGTTTACTCCAATCAATTTACTTTTTTATTTGTTATTAAGAAGACTCTTATCAACTTTTCAAATCTTTTGCCATCAAATTCATAATTAATTGAATCAAGTTCTTACATCTAAGTTTCCCAGCTATAAAATATGCTCAAATAGCATGAAATGTTTACGTAAGACATTACACATTGTCACCCCTCCCACTATAAAATCGATAAAAGTTAGATAGCCATTTCATTTAAATACGAAGCAGTGGGCAACCATTCTATGGATACTGCGGTGGTTACAACTTATGGAGCTGCTGCCAACCATCTTTTCTTAACATAACTGTGTACAGATATTTCTCAATCAATAACACGCCATCGAATGCACATAGGTTGAAAAACAAAAAACATCACCACTGATTGATCGACTCTTTTTTCTTTCTGTCTAATCACCTTGATAAAAAAATTCAAGATACAAATCAAATGCAATCAAACAGAGAGTAGAGCAGCCCATCATCTGTGAGAACCACTAGATCATGCCACCAAAAACATTAAAAAAGAAGTAAGAAATAGTTACATTAGTCAAACCAAAACACCAGTGGCATTTGAAGTAAATAAAGTAAGAAACATCAACAACCTAGTAACTTCAAGTAGTTTGCTTCTTTTTGTTGACTATTTAGCACATGTAATAGAATTTATCTGCAAACAGAGAGAGAGAGGAATCCCCTTTACATTGTTAAACAAAAAAAAGTTCAAATTTTTAGCACAAAAAAATTGAAAAACAACCAAAACCCAGAAAAGAAAATGATGCAAAATGAGAGAAAATGAGAGAAAAGAGAGAAATGTATTTTTTTGTTGTTGTTATTTGAGCTTACAAAGAGTCCCTTTACTCAGTCCTTGAAGCAAAAACCAAACCTTTTGAGATAGATAGCCTTTCTCCTTATAATTCAGGTATTTATGTTGCAAAGCAAATTCTTTTCTTTTTGTTTTTTGTTTTTCATTTTTTTTTAGCTGCTGATCTGATAGAAATGAAGTTTTGGGTTTTTTTTTTTTTTTATGAATTATTTGAAATGATTTTTTTTTTTATTGGTTATATTTTGAGCTATTCTATGATAAATTTAGATTCGTTTTTTGTATTAAGGACTTGGGTTGTTAGTTTATAGTGAGATATCATATCATCACTGTAAGTTTGTGTAGTTTCTAACTTTATTAGATGGTGGTTGAATTTTGAGTCTTGATGGGTTGCTTTGTAACCACTTCTATCTATCATTTGCTTAGGGAGATATTTAAAGCTCATGTATATATATATATATATTTTTTTTTTTGGAGGGTTAATAGCGTTCTTCTATGTTTCAAGTTTTAGTTGGATTCATCAAAATCTGGTAATATTGCATGTTGTTTTAATGAATTCCGATTTGTAAATTGACTTGCTTTTTTGTTTTCTTTGCTGTGTGGATTTCTTTTCTATTACTTGTAATGTATCCTTTTCCTGAATTTCTTTGAGGGTTCTTGATGCATTTGCGTTTGTTTGCTGTTCTTTTGTCAGGAAATTTACCTACTCATTGTGGTCTTAAACCTTGCTGGGAGCGAAGTTTGGTATGTTGATGGACTGTTTGTCTGAGTGTGTTTTGTGCTGTTGTCATGGCGTTGGGGTTAATTTACTTGAGTCGAATTAAGTGGAGCGGAATTTAAACAATGTAGTGATGGAAGAGTCAGAGATATATACACAATATCAATACAATTCTGGGGATCCCAGACATGAGAGATCCCAGCCTGCTTCTCAGGCATATACGTCAGACCCTACAAGCAGCAGGAATTCCAATAGGAGACTTCCTGACCTAAATTTACCACCATCAGAAGTTAAACCTGTACTTAACTATTCCATTCAGACAGGTGAGGAGTTTGCTCTTGAATTTATGCGTGATCGAGTTAATCCTAAGAAGCCTGTCATTCCAAATGCTGTTGGTGATCCCAGTTATGCAACTGGTTATCTGGAACTAAAAGGCATTTTAGGCATTAGTCATACAGGGTCTGAAAGTGGATCCGACATTTCGATGTTAACCATAGTAGAGAGAAGTCAAAAAGAATTTGAGAGGACTAACTCGTCTTTACATGAAGAGAGAAGCAACTATGGGTTAGCTCAGTCGGTACCAAGAACTTCTTCAGGTTACGAAAGTCGTGGATTGCTACATGGCTATGCTTCCTGTGGAGCCTCCGATAGCTCCTCTGGGAAAATGAAAGTTCTCTGCAGCTTTGGTGGTAAAATCCTACCCCGACCAAGTGATGGAAAACTGAGGTATGTTGGAGGTGAAACGCGCATCATGCGCATAGCAAGGGACATTTCTTGGCATGAGTTTAAGCAGAAAACTTTAGCAATATATAGCCAAGCTTGTGTGATAAAGTATCAGCTTCCTGGAGAAGATCTTGATGCCTTGGTTTCTGTTTCATGTGACGAGGATCTGCTGAATATGATGGATGAGTGGAGTGAAGTTGAAGATAGAGAAGGATCACAAAAACTCAGAATGTTTCTCTTCTCAATGAGTGATTTGGAAGATGCTCAATTTGGTCTCGGCATTGCAGAGGTTGATTCTGAGGTACAGTATGTAGTTGCTGTCAATGGCATGAATATGGGGTCCAGAAGAGAATCTACGCTGCATGGTTTGGCAAGCTCTTCAGGAAATAACTTAGATGAGTTAGATAGATCAAACATTGACAGGGAGACTACTAGTGTTGCAACTACCTCTGTTGGGGTCAGCGCTTCACCTTTGACTGACATTTATCAGTCTTCTCAAACTACTCTTCAAAGTTCCTCCAACGCCTATGAGACCTATCCACAGTTTTATCATGGCCAGATGATGGATCCTAGAGACGCTAGGCAGTTTCCATTGCACTATAACCATAATTCGTCTAACTACTCCCCTTTTGGAGAAATCCCTTATTCAAGACAACTTCACGGGCTTATGAATGAAGATGCAGGTTTTTATGAAGGACAGCAATATAACAGCTTTCAGGTAAAGAATTCACAGATACCGGTAAGGGAGGTGAAGCCAAGACCTGTTGGTTCCATTCAGCAAGAGATTGACCAGGGAAAAACTCATCCGATAGAGAAAGTTTACCCTGCCCCAGTTAATGAAGTACCAATCACAGCTGCTGCGCCAGAAGGAGATCTACGTACCATACCCTCAAAATATGAGGGAAAATGCCAAGAACCAGAGAAGGTTTCTTCTTCTGTTGATGATGTGAATCAAGTGCAGGCTCCTAAATCTCGTGAAGATGATCAACACTCTACACCAAGTGCTGCATCTGGTCCAGGAAATGCTGATTCTGCTTCTAATCCAATTGACTTGAGCTATCTTGAGCTGTCTAGACCTCAGAGGGTTTATTGTTCAGAGAGAATACCCCGGGGGCAAGCAGAGTTGCTGAATAGATTATCAAAGTCTGATAACTCACTTGGCTCTCAGTTGCTCATTTCTCATTCACGTTCTGACGTCGCTGAAAACAATTCAGTTACAGAATCTGTGGAAAATTTCCATGATAGTAATCTGGCTGCCCATACTGAACAGTCCATTTCAACTGCAACACCATGTACAGACTCTCTAATCATGGATGATAGAATTGGTGAGTTTGAGACAGATATTACTACTGGTAATCGTAGGAAACTCCTGGTTGATGAAAAGGGAGACGTGGGATCTGGCCATCCAGCTGTGGCTCAAGTAACTTCTGTTGTGCAGCATAAGGATCCTGCAGCTGATCTTCTGAATGAACCAGATGAGATAACAAACAGGGATGTCTCTGATAAGGACGATCGGGGACATTCTCAGCCATTTTCTTGGACAGAGAGCTCAACTAAAGATGTTGCTGCCAGAATACCCTCTGTTGGTGTTTCGTCCACCAAGCAGGCAGAAATCCAGATAGATATTAATGACAGATTCCCTCGTGATTTCCTTTCTGAAATATTCTCAAAAGGGATATTTACTGAGGATGCCTCTGGTGTTAGTCCAATACACAATGATGGAGCTGGCGTGAGTGTAAACATGGAAAATCACGAGCCTAAGCACTGGTCATATTTTCAGAAGTTGGCGAAGGAAGAGTTTGTTCAAACAGATGTTTCTCTTATTGACCAGGATCATCTTACCACTCCGTCTGTGCTTACAAATGTAGAAGAAGATCATAAATCTTATCATTTCACACCTTTGGCAGCAGGTGGAGATTCATTGGGCCATGGCTATTCTCAAATTAATTTAGTCCAAGACAATCAGAATAATTTACCTGGAATGGTAGGAGCTGATTCTACAATGATGTCCAATTTTGATCATTCCCAATTGAAGGATACTGAAAGTATGCAGTTTGAGGCTATGATGGAGAACCTGCAGTCACCAGAGTCACAGTATGAGGTATTTCTTCTCTGTTTTAATTTGATTTAAGAACTCATTTTCTAGCTTGCCAACTGAATTTCACTGTGATGCTTTTAGGATGGGAAGTTGGATAACAGGAACAATGGCCTTCCTCCCCGTGATCCTTCTCTTGGAGATATTGATATCAATACCTTGCAGGTATGTATCCTAAGATATATTTACCCATCTGTATTATTATGTAAAGTTTGCCTGTTCTGTTTTTAGTGTTTAAAGAAATTTTGCTTATACATGCTTAAAATATTAATTGACTTAAAATTTCAATTGGCAATGCAATATAAAAAGAAACCAAAGCTATAGAGAGATCACAATGTGCTTCCTAACTAGTGTTCCTTCTTCTGCTTCTGTGTTACATGTATGATGACCTTGCAGGAACTTATGGATGCATTGTTCCTGTTGCATCCTTGTGCTTTAAGATTAGTTAAATTTACATTTTACCTGAGAATAACATCCGCTTGATTCTTTTTTACCCTTTTCTGGGTGATCTAACAGATCATAAAAAATGAAGATCTTGAAGAGCAGAAAGAATTGGGTTCTGGTACTTTTGGGACTGTGTATCATGGAAAATGGAGGGGAACGGATGTTGCCATTAAGAGGCTAAAGAAGATCTGTTTCACAGGTCGATCATCAGAGCAAGAAAGACTGGTAACTGTTGTTCAAACTTTTGATTTGCATTTGTATTTTTGTTTTCCTAAATAATTATGTGCTATTTTATGCTATACCCATTGTTGATTTTTTAAAAAGAGAAGGCCGACACAAGAAGTCTTTTTTTTTTTTTTTTTTTTTTTCAGCAAGAAGTACATTGGCTAGGATTAGCTTTCGGTTCCCTTTTCTTGTTATATCTTTTCTTAAGGCAATGTTAAATAATCTATTTTCACTGGCATCTTCAGACCTTAGAGTTTTGGCGGGAAGCTGACATCCTTTCAAAGCTTCACCATCCAAATGTTGTAGCTTTTTATGGTGTGGTTCAAGACGGACATGGGGGGACATTAGCTACTGTGACAGAGTACATGGTTGATGGTTCTCTTAGAAATGTTTTACTTCGCAAAGACAGGTAAGTTGTGCACTCTTGCCATTCTTTGAATTCATATTCTTGGTAGTTCGCAATTTCATGCACAGGCTGTTGATTATGTTGTATTATCATGTTTCTTGTTTCACTAAATCTGAACTAGCAGGTATCTAGATCGTCGCAAGAGACTTCTCATAGCTATGGATGCTGCGTTTGGAATGGAATATCTGCATTCGAAGAATATTGTGCATTTTGATTTGAAATGCGACAACTTGCTTGTGAACTTGAAAGATCCCCAACGACCAATCTGCAAGGTAAATTCTAGTAATATGAACAAGGAGCCAAATGGATCAAAGATGAAGTACTTTTTCTAAAAAATTCTTATGAATGGATGGACCTAGGTTGGTGATTTTGGCCTGTCAAAAATCAAGCGAAATACTTTGGTTTCTGGAGGTGTAAGGGGAACTCTACCATGGATGGCCCCAGAGCTGCTAAATGGAAGCAGTAATAAGGTCTCAGAAAAGGTAAATGCTTTACTCTTGAAATTTGTGAATTGATATGAAGTAGGAAATATTGATTGTATTGCCGTATCTCTACCGGTATTACAACTTACATATATATAGCTACGTATAACATCTAAACTAGGAAAGTAAAGCTATAAATCTTCCTAAACTCCTTGATTAGAGCCTTAAATTCTTATATTTACATCCTAAAATACACCTATAATATTCTAAATAGAATATTTCCTATTCCAACACTCTCCCTTAAGCTGGCTTGTAAATGTCTTCCATTGCTAGCTTGCTTACTAGAGAATCAAATTGTTTTTTTAGTAGACTTTTGGTGAGTATATCGGACAGGTAGGAATATAAGGAACGCAAATTAGCCCACTTTCAAGTTTCTCGTTGATAAAGTGCCTATCAACTTCAATATGTTTAGTCTGATCATGAAGAATTGGATTATGAGCAACTGAAATGGCAGCTTTGTTATCACAATAAATTTTCACAGGAAGTGATGCAGGAAGTTTCAAATCTTCAAGCAATTTCTTAATTCACATAGCTTCACAAATCCCTTGTGCAAGGGGTCTAATTCTGCTTGAGCACTATTTCGTGCCACAACATTTTGCTTCTTACTTCTTTAAGTAACTAAATTTCTTCCAACAAATATACAATACCCAAATGTTGATCTCCTGTCCGTTACACTACCAGCTCGGTCAGCATCGGTATAGACTTCCATCCGAAAGTGATTATGTTTTTTAAATATCAAATCCTTTCATGGAGTCCCTTTTAGGTACTTTAGTATCCTATAGGCAGCTTCAAAATGCTCATGGCCCGGTGCATGCATGAATTGGCTTATCATGCTTACCGCAAATGCTATATCAAGGCGAGTGTGTGACATATATATAAGTTTGCCCACCAAGCGTTGGAATTTCTCCTTTTCAATCACATCTTTAATTTTAGTAAGATTTAGTTTGAGATTTACCTCAATTGGAGTCTTAGCAGCTTTGCAACCTACATGACCAGTTTTATTCAGTAAATCAAGGACATATTTTCTTTGATTTACAAAGATTCCTTCATGCGATCTTGCAAATTCCATGTTAAGAAAATATTTCAATGTTCCTAGGTCTTTAATCTGAAAGTCTTCAGCTAGTCTCTTTTTCAATCTTGCTAATTCATCAAGATCATCATCCGTTAGTATCATGTCATCAACATATACAATGAGGATTGCTATCTTCCCTTTATAAGTGTGTTAAAAAAGAGCATGATCTGTCTAACTTTGATGATACGCATATCCTTTTAAAGTCTTCCCAAACCGTTCAAACCATGCCCTTGGAGACTCGTTTGAGGCCATACAATGACTTCTTAAGTCCGCAAACTTTGTTTTGACCAATAAACTCCTCAAAACCCGGAGGTGGACTCATAAAGACTTCCTCTTCCAAATCACCATTCGAGAAAGCATTTTTCACATCTAGTTGATATAAGACCTCATTGAAATTAATTGCAAGAGACAATAAAACACGTATAGAGTTAATTTTGGCTACCGAGGCAAAGGTTTCCCGATAATCAACACCATATGTTTGAGTAAATCCCTTAGCCACAAGTCTAGCCTTGTATCTTTCTACACTATCACCGCCTTGCATTTCACAAGTAAATACCCATTCATACGCAATTGTTTTTTGACCTTTAGGTAGCTTTACAATTTCCCATGTTTCATTTTTCTTTAGTGTATTTATTTCCTCTATCACAAACTTGTTCTCCAATTTGGATCATCAAGTGCTTCCTAAATGTTTCTTGGAACAAATAGGTTAGAGATTTTTAAAGTAAATGCTCTATGGTTTTACGAGAGACGGTCATAAGATAGATATTTTGCAATTGGGTGATTAGTGTAAGAACGAGTTCCTTTTTAAGATCACAATATTTATGAGAAACAACATTGGGTATAACAGGAGGTGAAATATGAGGATTAGTATTTTGAGAAGTGTTTTGAGTACCTGAATTCGAGGTAATGGATTGACGAGGTGCTGAAGGAACGATAGGTTCTTTACCCTTTTGGTGTTTCTCTCTTCTTGCATAAACAATGACCTCGGGTTCTTGATCCTTAGTATTATTTTGCAGTATTTCTTTCCTTGTTAAAGATTCAACAATGTTTGGCATAACAATATTCTTATCGGTAGAAATTGCTTTGTCATTTTCGAAAACACTAGGTGTAAAGGTCACTGTTTGAGGTAAAGTAGTAAAAATAGGTATGTTGTTCCAACTATTTTCTTCCTCTAAACTCTCCCCACGAAGAAAAATTCTTTTGAAAATAAGGTTGATTTTCAAGAAATAAAACATCCATAGCAACTAGGACTTTACGGGTCTTTAGATGAAAACAATTGTATCCCTTTTGATTTGACGCATAGCTAATAAAAACACACTTTTCAGCCCTTGGATCAAGCTTGGACTGATCCTTATTAGGTAAATGAACATAAGCTGTACACTCAAATATTTTAAGGGGTAAATTGGATGAAATTCAGTTTTCAAGAAAGAAATTTTTAAAGTACTCAAGAGGAGTAATGAATTTAAGTACATGAGTAGGCATTCCGTTTATCAAATATGTTGTCGTTAAAACTATTTCTCCCCATAGATACTTAGGGATATGCATAGAAATAGGGATATGCATAGAAAACATAAGAGACCGGGCTACTTTCAATAAGTGTCAATATTTTCGCTCGGTTATACCATTTTGCTGAGGTGTATCAACACAAGTGGATTGATGATGAATGCCCTTATCTTTAAAAAAATTTCTAAGAATTTCATTGAAATACTTAGTACCATTATCGATATGAAAAATATCAATTTTAGTTTGAAATTGAGTTTCAATCATGTTATAAAAATTTTGAAACATTGTCATAACTTCAGATTTATCAGCCGATAAATATACCCAACACAATCTAGTATGATCATCAACGAATGTTACAAATCATTTTTTGCTTGAATAAGTAGGGATCCGTGAAGGACTCCATACATCATTATGAATTAAATAAAATGGTTATGAAGGTTGATAAAGTTTTGAAGGATAAATATTTTTATGGCTTTTTGACAAAATACAATGTTCACGGTGAAAAAGAGAACTATCCAAGCCTTTAAATAGGGTAGGAAACAATTTTTTAAGATAAAGAAAATTAGGATGCCTTAGTCTATATTGTCGAGCATTATTTTATCTTTTCGAGGGGTAGAACTGATACTACTTGTCCTTGAGGTCTTTCATCCTTGAAGACTTCATCTTCAAAATAGTAAAGACCATCGATTATTCTAGCACTACTAATCTTTTTTCTCGAATTCGATCCTGAATCACACAATAAGAATCAAAGAAAGTGACATTACAATTAAAATCTTTTGATAATTTGTTGGTAGACGGAAGATTTTATGCAAGTTTTGGTATATGTAGAACAAATTTAAGGGATAATGTATCCGACAAAACAATTAAACCTTTGCCAGCAATAGGTGAGTAGGACCTATCTCGTTATACGGATTTTTTCATGATCCGAAGAAGGAACATAAGCATGAAACAAATTTGAAAAACTTGTCATATGGTCGGATGCTCAAGAATCAAAGATCCATGGAGTAGATTGTGATAAAGAGTAACACACTAAGGCATTTAAATCATTACCTATTTGGGTAAAAAAAAAAACATTAGGAATACCGGATAATCCAAAATTGGATTTGAGCATGAAGTTCTCTACATCCTAAACCGGACGAGCTGGATCATCCAAGTTTGGCTCATTCTTCTCGCCATTTGAATATCCAATCTTTTCCCCGTCGCGAGATGTACATGTGCATAGATTGAGACCAGCATAAGGAATCTTGGGTTTTGTATAAGGTAGATGGATAGACAACTGTGGGTGTAGAATCCGATGTAATTTCAGACATGGTGGTGAGGAAGAAAATAAATTAGAGTGGTTGACGGCTAGGGTTTTTTGTTTAGAGAGAATAGACCAGCTCGATACTTGTCAAATGACTATCCACTTAAAAGTTTAAGCTGTTAGGTAAGACTTCAAGATATGATTTATATTATGCTCTAATACACTCTCTCGAGTGAAAGCCTAAATAAAACTTATACAGACTCACACTACTTTGTGTTTAACTAATTAAAAGAGAAAGTAAGGGTAATAGGATTCGAATTCGCGACTATTTGGTCATCAAGGCTCTAATACTATGTTAAAAAACCATTACACTCAAAAGCTTAAGCTGTTAGATAAGGCTCCAAAATATGATTTATATTATTCTCTAATAAAATTACTCGTTAATAACATGAAAAGAGTATAATTTGGTATAGTGGGTATAGATTTAGATTTTTATTCCATTTAGTCAGTTAAATTTGTAACTGACATAATGGAAGTTTCAAAATCTTCGTCAGCATTTGGTGGTTGAAAACTTTATCTAAATCTCTACTTTTTGTTTCTTCTAGTTTGTGATGAGTTGCTAAGTCGGTTTAAGCTTTAAAATTTTGTACTGCACGTATTGCCTTTTATTTGGTAGATATGGAACTTGGTTTATGCTGAGATTTATTTCTCGTCCTTCTTTCCTTTCCCCGTCATCTGTAGCCCTTGTTGTTTAATGTCCCTTAAGATCAGTTACTAATCTCTAATTGATCTCAGGTTGATGTATTCTCTTTTTCCATTGTCTTGTGGGAAATTCTGACTGGTGAGGAGCCATATGCCAACATGCACTATGGTGCAATTATTGGTATGACTTTTGTACTCTTTTCTTTTGTGTGTGCATGCATGCATGTTTTTGCAACTGTACCTAAATCTTCTTTGGGTTGTGCATGTATCCCAAGATTGCAGCATCATTGTGAAACTGGAGTTACCAAAAATGCCACTGGATATCTATCAAATATATGTTTGAATTTACGTCTTTCTTTTCATATAGATTTATTTTCACTACATGGGTGCTGATATAGGATTCATATTTATATCAGGAAGTAGTGCGGATATAAATTAAAGAAATTTGATGTGATGAAAATAAAAAATTTGCTTGAAAAACCATCAGGTCGTTGGGGTCCGATACTGTTCTGTTATAGACTTGTTTTTCATGTACTGAAACTGGGTCCTTCTATCTAGGATCTTGAATGGGGTTTAGTTAAGTAATGGTGCGGATACTTGGAAGAGTTCAATGCCCATGCGCTAATTTTACTTCTAGGCACAAACTAACAGCTGAAACTTGGAATACCCTTGTCCATTAAATCTGCTCCTCTGACCTGTAGGTGTACCATTGATGTCAGTTGCATTTATAGTGTCTGTGCTGTCTACATTTGTGTAAATATTTTTATGCTGGTGTGTAGGGGGAATTGTAAACAACTCGTTGAGACCAACAATTCCAAGTCATTGTGATTCTGAATGGAGAAGGTTGATGGAGCAATGTTGGGCTCCTAATCCGGCAGTTAGGCCTTCCTTTACAGAAATTGCCAGTCGTTTGCGCACAATGTCAACAGCTGCTAGCCAAGCCAGAGGACACGGACAGAAGGCATCAAAGTAATGGTTTGACAATTACTAGCTATCGCCTTCCCATGATTTGTTAAATCGTAAATTGATTCATTTTACTGTACTCTCCAGAGAGACTTGTATCATGTAGAAAGGATGAACCGGCTTCCATAATGTTTTTGAAACGGAAGTGGTTCTCTTACAATATCTGATAAGTATTGTTTTATTCCAGAATGTTAAACTGTCGTTGAATTCTATACTTTGAACAAGGAATTTCAAGCTTGTTTAAGTTGTTTGCCCTCAGATCTCAATTTGTTATTACCATTGATTTTTAATTTGCCAGCTAGCCCCAACTTATAGGTTGGCAGTACTTCCACAAGAAACCTAATGAAACAACAATGTGGGGTGTGGATGAAAGAGCAGTCAATTATTTCTGTAGAACTTGCAACTGGAATTTGTCACTCCTGACAACATTTATTCTTTTCAAGAAGCCATATTTCTTGTTCTGTAGGCTCTATAGCCAAGTTGTAGGCTGCTAGGATGAACCTAAATACAAACGGATGTTTCGTACTTCCTTATCAATTATGGAGCTACTTCCCAACTTTTTAACCAGATAATCGGTACATCTCAATTCTCGTGTATCTGGTATGGCAGCCTAAACCTTACCAAATAAAGCATATGATGGTATAAATAGAAATTTCCAATATAACGAATTCCTGCTGATTTACACCATCATCCAGTCAAAATTTGACTAGAAGGTATCAATAGCAATCGGAAAATCTGAACAGTACGATCGATATTGCAACGGCAGTCACAATAACAAAAGTTCGCAAAACTTTCTGTGAAAACATTGAAAAATGTGCACAATCTTTTTGGGAATATTAGGATCATCATCATTTACAAGGCAATTCACTTTATTATCTTTATGTTGACACCATATAAAGCCACAAAGAAGTCAGACTAACCATTGCAAAGGACTAGGAGGAAGAAAGGTTGTGCACTTGCCATGCAGATGCTAGCATGATAGGCCGGCCTTTCCATCCAAGGAGGAGACAACCCTTTTCACTAGCTAAAGTGTAACCATCACAGCCATAAACAGAGAGCATCATTCTAGCTCGGCTCATGCAATTCAATCCCATTACTTGAAACCCTGCTCGAGATAATTGCCTTCTCCATTGATCTGCTCTCTCATGTCTCTCTGTCCTATTAGAACCCTCATGAGCTATGATACTGCAAATTTCCTCAGCAAAATGAACCTTTTCTATCTTCATCCTTTGCGGACTATTTCTTGGAAGACTAGCTTCAAGGGAATCGAAAATGGCCGAGTAGTAATGGAGAGATTCAATAAATCTTCCAAGAAAGAAGGGGCCATTGTGGTTTGCATCTTGTTCTACCACAGTGAGCAATGTTGGACTTAATTTCTTAAATGCTTGGAGGATTGCCTTGAGGTAGCCTCTACTCTCTTTCACAAACTCGTGCAAGTGCATTATACTATTGACAAATAATGCTTCCCCTTCTCTCAAGTCAAGGTTCTCTGTAGTTAAAAGCAATGGTGTAACTGGATCTGATATCATGTTAAATTCCAAACGGATTCCTAATGCGCTAGCATCCTGGGAAAGTGCTTTCATGCTAGCTTCAAGCTCTGACAAATTTTGATCGTTTATTAATCCTGTGATTCGGACTTTCGGCGGGCCTTGAGGCCTTGAAGCTAGTGTCCTCATCAAAGAAGGCCATTGAAGGGTGTGCTCCATTCCTAGATCAATTATATGCAATGAGTCTTTACCTTGTGCTGCCTGACATATTGCTTCATTTGCAGCCATGAAACCAAAAGCAATATAAGGAGTTGTTTGGTGAAGGAGTTGAAAAGCTTCCATTTTCTCCGCCCTAGTGATCAATGATCTATCCGTAGCATCACCATTTGTGAATGTCCCATTTGCATTCACATTATTAAGATGAGATAATCTACACTTCAATCCCATAGAAAAACAATAAGAAACTCTATGCAAAGAATCACCCCATGGACTAACTGAAGGCCAAATTTGGTCAAGCATTGTATCTGCTAGTTGTGTGTCTCTGCAGCCCACAGCCTCAGCACTAGCCAACAACAAGTGAACCAAATGAAGGCCCTGGTCTACAACCTGAGTCTCCTCTTCCACTCTAGGCTCCATATCAGAAACAGCTACAAGATCTTCAAAAGTGCCACTCTTTTCCAATTCATCTCCTATATTCATCATTGGAACATCTTGGAAAACATCATTCACCATGGAAAATGCCTCTATCTGATCATCTTGGAATTGGTTGAAATGCTGGTCCTTCTGAGGGGATCTATAATCTTTGTCATCATCTTGATCCACATTAATAAAGCTATCAACCAATTCATCCACCTCGGAAGCAGCTAAGCGAGGAGGGCTAGTGGTATTATCATCATCAGGTGACAACAGTTCAATCTCACTGAATGTTATCTCCTCCCAGTACTCTTCTCCTTGTTCCAGCTCCATTCTAGCAGGACAAAATCTTCTAATGGCAAGGTCATGGTTGAGACTCTCATGCATGGAGAAGGAGAGCCAATCATTCATGCCTTCCATTGCTTCTTGAAGGACCTGAGGTGAAGGGAACGATATGGCTTAGAGTGAATAGATTTTTAAGACTAATGACAGAACATAAATATGTGGTTCCTTTTCTTATCTATATGTTGAAAAAATAGATAACCTTAAATCCAACGACAGGATGGTGGTTTTATTTTTTTCGTCAAGAGCTGAGGTGCAAGAGAAAGTGACTAGAGTAATGATTATATAAATTCTGTAAGAGGAGATCAGCTGCCAAAAAAAAAAATAAATAAATAAAAAATAAAAAAAAGGGAATGCATAATATATGAGGCTATGTTGAATATCAAGAAAAGAAAATGAGGAAGCAGGTTTGGCAGATACTATTGATCACTGAGTAGTTAACTCTTTTGAGTTTGGTTTTGTGGTTAGTGAGTTTATTTCTTAAATTACTATTTTGGACTTAAATTTGATGGAACCCCACAAGAAAGAAATTTATCGTGAATGTATTTATTCTTTTGAGGATGACATGTCTGAATCCTGGCTAGAATTTAATACGAATATCAACCTGAAGACACCCCAACGATAAAAAACCAAGAAAAAGGAAAAATAATAATAAAATAAATGTACTTATAAGATTATCTTGCCTTTAACTAGCACAATTTTCGCTTGTGGTCACAACCCACCATGCATTATCATATCTATCTTATTGATTATATACCATTACTAAAGATTTAGTATCTACATGAAAGAGGTGGTTGTTCGTCAGAAATTAAAGAATCCAATGGAACTAGGTGAGGTTGAAAGAAAGGGACATTGGTAGGAGCTGGCGACAACAGGCATTGAATTTGTTGCTGCTAGTTAAGGTGGTATGAAATAAAAAATTATAAATTGGGCAAAGAACTTTTCTACAATATGCTTAGCCGGGCTTAAAGACAAAAACGCTTTACTTTATTTTTTTTGTTGGGGCCGGTTACCCCAACAAGTATTGGGACCCTTTTCTTGCATGGGTGTCATGTTTGTCACCTAAGTCTCTTGGGACGGCCAACAAACAATGAGACGTTAAAAGGTGGCTCGGATCTGATTCGTGATTTTTCAATTCCTTAAGTTGTGTCTTGTTTTAACTTTTCTTTGCATTTCACAGTTTGGTTGCTTGATACTATAATTTAAATCTTTTTCCTATTTAAGCTAACTAGAAAATACAAGAGCCAACTAGCAGGAGTAGATATCTATTGAGGATTTCTAAACTCTTACATCCATTTAAAGATTGACTCGAACGTAATTTTTAAGGAACAATGTTACTAATTGTCTTGATTTAGTTTACTAGGAAAAAAGCCTTTAGTTACTTAATTGTCAACATCGGCCTCGCGCATGGGGTGGTTAAGGACTCGCTACTTAACGAATCGAAGAAAACTAGAAAATCTTAGATATACTAGTTTACATAGATATATGGATAAGGAGTTAGTTATGTATGAAAAAATATAATATCACAATCATCTGATCCTATTTAAGACGAGGCTACATTGTTTGTCTATGAACATATAAAATCTAATTTTTACTATGTTACATGCTTCTATGTCTATTTAAATGAGTTTATTTTATTAAAATATAAAAACATGATAGTTTGGGTGTAAAATAGGATAGTTTGGGGGTTTGGATGTAAAACAAGATAGTTTGGTGGTTTGAATATAAAACTCGAATAGTTTGGGGGTTTGGATGTAAAACAAGGTAGTTCGGGGGTAAAACTTGATAGTTTGGGGGTTTGGATGTAAAACGAGATAGTATGGGTGTAAAACTTGATAGTTTGAGGACTTTGGGTCGGTCTAAGGCTAATATCCTCTACCTAAAGGGAAAAGCGAGAAAGTTAGAATTTCAACTAGTTTTTAGTAAATACGACCTACTACCGATAAATAAGTGAGTTTCTAAAGATAGATAGCCTTTTATTAGCATGAGCGACGTGTCACTAACGACTTCACTCATACAAATGAGAAGCCATCGGTAACTTCGAGTCATGAATTTTGGAAGCTATCGACAACTTTGTCATACAAGTGAAAAGTTACTAACCACTTTATTTAGCTAGAGCAAGGAGTAGATACTTAGTTTAGAAGCTAGTGATGATTTCATCACATAAGTGACAAGTCGTCGACGACTTCATTTCAAACAAGAAGACAATAATAAAATAATTTCAAAACTATCGGCGACTTTATCACACAAGTGGAAGTCACCGACGTCTTCATTTCAAAAAAACAAAAAAACAAATAAGATTGGTTTGAGGGTCGGCGATGGCTTCATCACATAAGTGAAAAGTCACCGACGGTTTCGTTTCGATAAAACAAGAAATAAGAAAAATTATTTTGAAACCACTAATGGCTTCTTCACATAAGTGAAAAGTTTTTAGTTAAAGATGGATATGGGGAAAAAGATGAAGGCTTGTGAGGTGGTTGTGGTAGCTTGTATGGGAGGCTTCTATGAAAGAGAGCTTCGAGTGGGGGAGAGTTACGGTAGAGAGAGGTGATCGACTAAAGGTGATAATAAATAGTGAAAGTATCAAAAAATGCAAGGCTTTTATAGATATTTTCTAGGTTTTTTTTTAGCAAAATTCATTAAAATCTCTTTTCTCTACAATCCATCAATTTGAGTTTCATTTTAATTTTTTTTTGTTTCAATCGAGGCCTTAAATTGTAAATAATTGGAGCTTTTCTTTTTAATTTATTCTAATTATATTCCTCTTTAATTTAAATAAGACGCTCGAAGTTTTAATTTTTCTAATTAGACCCTTAATTATCTTTTTTTTCCCCAAACTTTCTATTTTTTTTAATTAGCCCCCTTCTAATCTACTTATTTCAATTGCTTTGATTTTTGATTTTTTTTTTAATATTTTGGTATTTTTGTTTTGTTTTATCATTTTTGGTATTTTACAATAAAATAAAAAGTAAAATGGGAGCAAAAATTGAATGTTGATAGTTGCCTCCTCTTTACAATATTTTCGTTAGAAAGTCATTAGAAGTCTATTCTTTGACTTTATATTGAAAGCTTTGTAAAGAAATAAAAATTAAAATGAAAACATACAATGCAAACAATGGCAAACCTAAAACGAAAAAGATAGTCATCGAATTTAAATGATGATTGATTATATGATGAGACATGATTGACCACTAATTTTGCAAGGCGTGACAAACAACTCGGCCTCATTGGACATGACAAACCACTTTAATTTAGAAAAATGTGATAAAACACTCTAACTTTGCTAGACTTAACGTGACCATTCTAACCTTACAGGATGTGACGGACCATTCGGACTTTGCAAGATGCGATAGACCACTCTAACCTTACAAGATATGATAGACCACTCTAACTTTAGAAGAAACGATAGACCAATATGACCTTGTAGGATGTGACGGACCACTTTGACTTGAAGGGACATGATAGATCATGTCGACTCTACTATATTTGACATACTACTTTGATTTGACAAGACGTGACATGTCACTCGACTTTGGTAGGTGTGACGGACCATTCCGACTTTATAAGATGTGATCGACCATTCTAACTTATAAGACATGATAGACCAATCTAACCTTATAGGAGATGATAGTCTACTTCGATGTGGAGGGACATGATAGGCCACTTAACTCCATTATATTTGGTAGACTGGTTTGATTTGGTAGGGCATGATATATCACTTTGACTTTGCTAGGTGTGACAAACCACTCTAACTTTACAAGACATAGCAAACTACTCGACCTTATAGGATGTGATAGACTACTCTAACTATGCAAAACACGATAGACCACTCTAAGTTTATAGGTTGTGACGGACCACTTTGACTTGGAGGGATGTGATGGACCACGTTGCCTCTCCTATATTTGGCGAACCGTTTTAATTTGACAAGATATGATAGACCACTTTGACTCTGCTTGGTATGATAGATCATTTTGACTTTATAAGATATGATAAACCATTCGACCTTACAGGAAGTGACAAACCACTTTAACTTAGAGGGATGTGATAGACCATATTGACTCTGCTATATTTAATAGATCACTCGATTTGGCAAGAATTAACGGACCATTTTGACTCCACTAGGTGTGACGGACCACTCGACTTTGACAAGATATGACTAATTATTCTGCTCTAGACTAACGTGATAGACCATATTGGTTTAGAAGGGAGTGACAAACCATGTTTTTTTGACAAGGTATGATAGACCACTCTAACTTAGACCGATATGACATATCACGTTAGTTTGAAAGGATATGGAAAACCATTTTTTTTATAAGATATGACTGATCATTCCGACTTAAACCGATGTGATGGACCATGTTAATTTTGAATGACATGATAGACCATGCTTTTTTATAAGATATGACTGACCATTTTGACTTAGATTGATGTGATGGACTATATCAATTTTGAATGATAGATAGACCATACTTTTTGAAAGATATGACTAATTATTTTCACTTAGACCGACATGATGGACCATGTTGATTTTGAATGACATGATAGATCATGCTTTTTGATAAGATATGACTGATCATTCTAACTTAGACTCACATGACAAACCACATTGGTTTAGAAGAGTGTGACAAATCATAATTCTTTTTTAAACAAGATGTGACATATCACTCGACTTAGAATGATATGACATACTATGCTAGTTTAGAAAGACATGACGAGACCATATTTTTTTTTACAATATACGACCGATCACTCTAGTTTAGACTAACATGATAAGTCACGTCAATTTTGAGTGATGTGATAGATCATATTTTTTTGATAAGATATGACTGATCACTCGACTTAGATTGATGTGATAGACCATTTAATTTGGAATGATGTGACGGACTATACTTTTTAATGAGATATGAATAAGCATTTGACATAAACTAATGTGAAGTTTTCAAAGAAGCATATGTTGTCACTCGCTAAGACATAGGTTTCCCCTTTTTGTCTTCATTTATGTGTCATCCAGACTTGATAGGTTTAAAGTTCTAGGCCAACTACTTTCATTGAGCTCGTCTATTTACATCTCTAATCAT